TATATATATATATATATATAAAATATAAAATAAATAAATTTATATCATTATATATAAATATATAAATCATGAATTTGTATGACAGTATTATAAGCTAATTGTTAAGGTATTTATATCATTGATCAAAATAGTTGATAATGTTCGTTTCTTTCAGTTATATCAGGTTCTAAGATCCACTTGATAATCACATAAATTTTTCAAGAATTAGTTACTTTTAAAAGTAAATTTTATTGTTATATGTGTATGATAATCTAACAAGAGACATGATAAAATATTGCATTAAATATTGCATTAACTAAGAAATATAAGAATTCTAAAAAAAATTGTTCACGATGAATTTCTCTTAATACTAATTTTGTTTTTCTACAGAGAACATGGTCAAGGAACAATTGAGGAATTGCGAAATCGACACTTCAGAAAGGAATTGGAAGAAAGAGAGTGGATAGACAAGGATAAAGGATCAAGCCGTCGTGCCATTGAACCATCCAGGGAATCAACTGCATCCAGTGCAAAAAAACGAAAGTTAGATCAAGTTCCTTTCGCCAGCTTAGATGCACTTGATGATGAAGAATCAGATTCTGAAGATGATACTGCTGCGCTTTTGGCTGAACTTCAGAGGATCAAGAAAGCACGAGTAGCAGAACAAGCTAAGAAAGTATGTAACATTATAATGATCACGCAGTAGCATCGTAACATCAAGTGCATAAAAATATATAACAGGCCACTTAACGCGTCGTCTCTGCATATATGTTCACCGCTGCTAAGTTCGCGACGCCACCACTAATTATCCAGAGTTTTCATATCGACAAACTTTCAATTAAATTTTCTTCCATTGAGTATATCTGCAAAGATATTATATGTAATAACCTTTTTGTTAATTCGTATTACAAATAATTTCCGTATAAAAACATATTGGAAATATTACGTTTTAATACGTGATCTGTACACGACAAGTTTGTTCTTTATTATAAGTCAGTTGATCACTTTAGTCACTTTCAGTCCATCTTATGTGTCTTGTGTAATGAAATACTTGGCTAATTGCATTTATTTTGTATTCGTTTTTTTTTTATTAAGGAGGCCAGATGGTTTGGAGGATCAAAAAATAATTTTTTGTGAATTTTTTATGGAAAAATGATTACAGTTATTTTAGGTTTGAACTTATATTTTATTCGCGCTTTATATACAATAAGTATGAATTTTTATTAATTAAATTGTGTTGAAATGTTCGAGAGGCAACAATGGCGGTAAACGTGTCCACATGAAGTTTTGTTGAATTGCTGACATTGTGCAGTCGTATGAACTAATCGTATGAAATAAAAAAAAATCAAATTGATTTGTAATTTATAATGTAAGAATGTATACTATAAATCTAATAAAATTATTAAAAATCGCGATTTGTTAAAATTACTTCTTTATAAAAAAACAAAGATTCTTTTTTGACCATTAAATTACCAAAAAAATATTTACTATTATTGTTTTGAAAAATTTACTATTAATTTCAAAAAAATTATTATTTTTTTTAGTAAGTTTACCGTATAGAGAAAATAGTTGTAATAAATGTGTAAAGAGCGGCGAAAGCCGTTTCATAAGCCGTTTTCTCTACAATGTCAGCAAATTTGAAAAAATGCGTTTAAAGTGTTGAGTTAGAATACTTATGTTTTTTTAATACTTACAATAAATTTTTCTTATTCGGCGATTCCCGGGCCATAATTCATCCTCTTGTTCGAAATGTAGAAATGTAGAAAAAAAAAACCAGAAATACGGATGTTTCTTTGTTCGAAGAAGTAACAGTCGTATGGCGCGTTGCGGGAGATCGAAACTCGCGCTTGTGCACCATTTCAGTTAACCGTGAATTACTCCGTTATTTTACCTTATTTCTATGAACAGTTTTGATAACATATTTTCAAGACAATCAACTTTCCGAAAATGAAATTTAAAAAAATCGATTTTTTTTTACTCTCCAAACCACTCGGCCTCTTTAAGAAGAATGTAATTCGATATCTTTTTATGCACTTGGCATATATTTTTATCTTTCTTTAAAAGGATTCTTTTAGAGAGTTCGAATACTTTCAAGTTTAACTTACTGTCTTTTTGTTCCCCTCATATATCTTTCGTGTCTAAAAGAAGAATGTAATTCGATACTTTTTTATGCACTTGGTATGTATTTTTTCCTTTTTTTGAAAGGGTTCTTTTAGAGAATTAGAGTATTTTCAAGTTTGGCTTACTGTCATTTTGTCCCCCTCATATATCTTTCGTGTCTAAAACATAAAATATTATCTTACATTTATCTTATAGTTATTATTTTATATTTATATTTATCTTATATTTATTATTTTGCAGGAAATGGAGAAAGGCCGTATGGAAAATATCCTTTCAAGAAAATGGGACGATGTCGTCTTTAAAAATTGTGCACGTTCCGAACCGAAGAAGAAACATGATGTTTTTATTAACGATTCTGTACTAAGCGAATTCCATTGTAAATTTATGACGAAATATGTTAAGTAATTTATTAATTATAAGCATCAACATATAAAATAATTTTAGGCATTGTAAATAATTTTTTTATTGAATAAAAATTTATTTTTGTTATTTATATTGAATAATCGTCATTAACCAATTCTAAACCAACAATTGAGCGGGGCAGCGTTTTCGCCCAAAATATGCGACGAGATAATCCGAGCGATGATGTAGGGCATTGTAGGGGATCGGTAACCCATAATAGAGTCTGTAATCAGAGTGGCGCCATACGAGAGATGACGCCATGTTTC